AATCAATACGAAATGGTAAAAGTGCGATTAATGACCAAGAAATTACCTTCCCAATGGACCGGTGAGCAGAACTTCGGTTTGCCTGAGAAACAGAAAGGATTGTTATTAATTTGCGAAACGCATTCTCAGCTGAACCCTTGCTTATTTTCGCTGTCATGTCGCGCGTTTTGATCACGTCATTTCGCGGTCTTTCGCTTGTCATCTCAACGGATTTTGCCATTTTTTGATCGTTTTTCAATTTGTTTAGTTTGCTCTCACCTTTTCATTGATTCCTGTGGATTTTGTTTCCCAACTTATTGTACCCATTTGTTCCTTTTCAACTGCTTTGTAAAAGTATTTTGCCCAAACTGTTGCATGGTCCATTCAATTGACACCGGTTTCCATCACTATAATATTTTACTCATAATAATCAGGCTTCTACATTCAGCACATTGAGTTGTTCCTCCTCCTTGGTTGCGTGAAAAAAAAACGGCTGAACACGAAACTCACCATAACATATCATATTTCCCACAAAGTATGAAAAGATGTCGCTTGATTTTTTCAAGTGTGTATGTCAGTAGAGAACATTTCGGATTTCTCTACGATATTCGTTTTATAAGTACGCACAGAGTTTGCAAAGCATTCATCAACCAAACACAGAATCACGCGTATTGGCCCATGCCGGAAACAAGATCATGCAGTCGAAACTCACGCTCCTCAACCATGGGTAGCCGTCGCATTCGAGGATCTGCAATACGACAGACAATATGGATGGTTCATGAACTGCAAGTATCCATCGACTGCCAACGTCGTACATGAAAACTCAACATGAGCGAATACGAAATGCCAGGTCTGCTAATCACGAATTTACTCGACTGATCGGAAAGGTGATTAGATGACACTCAAGGTTTGTTCAAATGTGTCAATTCAATTCAACTCAAAGATTCCATTCACCGATCCCGTCAAGCAACGGGACCGATTAACAAATAAAATAGAGAGTAATCACAACGCGCTCATTCTGTCGTCGGAACTCGGTTAGGACACGTCGATCGGAACGAGGATGACGCAGACAATGTACACTCAAATTCATAATGATCATGCTGATTATCATAAACAAACTGCTCGATGCCTGTTGTCCTTAAGGAATGAAACGGGATTTCCAAGTGAACAGGAGAATGCGTAGATCGCGTGCTTCACTTTATAGACCTGAGGTCCGCAACTTTGCAAACCACCCGAAAAACTCGAGTGTTATGCGTGTGCATTGCTCCGACAGACAGCAGTATGTCACGTGTCTGTAAACGAACACCTCGAGTTGAGCATACACAACAGTTGAACATGTGAACAAACCGACTTACACTTGATCCATATTGGTAAACATTTTCGATCAGATGTTCTCCTCAATCCTGTATTCGTGCGGATGGTGGGAAGTGTGAAATGGATTTGGATTGTTTTAGTTACGATGGAAGACGAGACCACTTGTCACCACAATTCGTGTGATAAGAGAATCAAATGAGGAATCACATGATGTGAAATTCTGCGCAGGGTCTCATAGAGTTACTGAACGAGTTACAAGTTGTTTGAATGTTTTCTACCTTTTGTGAAACAATACTTAGTTCACGATATTAGTCTAAACTGTGCAATCGGAATAAGTCAGTTTTGACCGCGACTTATTTTGTTTCAGTGATGATGATATCTAACACATGCTGGTGACGAATCTCCCCCGGAGCTAGGTGATGTTCGTTAAACATGTTTTCACTGTTTTACTCACATTCAAGGATGGTGGAAAAGTTACCGAAACTTATTTGTGTTACACCGTGTCGCTATGTTATCTATTCATATTTTTGATTTTATCATGAATCAGCGAGGAACACGTCCTTTTCGTGCGTTCAATCAGTTTATACTACAATGATTTAATAGACTATTCAGTCTTCATCAACGTGGTGTTTGTGAGTAGAGAAATGACTTTATGATGATTGGCCACAGTAGTTAACCCAGTGTGTCTGCGGAAGAAATCTTCCGGGCTCGGAAGACTAGACATCGGACTAGATTGTGTTTATATTTCACAGGAACGAAACTATGAAAGTTGGTATATTGGCCGTTTCATGTTTTCTTTCTGTTTTGGTTTTGATTTTATTATTATTATTATTATTCAGAATTTTTCCAATTGTTATTTCTGTTCTCCGTATTATGCTGGTTTCAATCGAGAGTTCGGGTCTCGGATCCCGTGGTAGTGTAAACAAAATAAAATTTCGTAAGCAGACCATTTGGTTTTGAGGATGTTTCGAGGATTTTCCACTTGTTATAGAGAGTAGTCATAAACACGCAGAAAGTAGCAATTGACGACAAACGAGTTACCTTCAAAGGAAGCTGGTGAACACATTTTTGGCTCGTCTAGCGGAAAAGGGAAATAAATGAGGTTAGGCTATAGTGTATATCTGTAGGCTATTTAACATTTAGCTACTCAAATTCCCAGTTCCCTTTAAATATTCATGTTGAATTGCTATTTTTTTTCTTCACTGATTTTATAAACCTTCTCATCTGATGTGATACAGGTCCTGCGGAGCTCTCGCTTTTTTTAAATGTCTGCATTGATTTACATTTCAACCTCTCCTGTTTATGCGTGCCGGTTTTATTCGTGGAATAATTATGTGCATATACATGAGTAACCGACAGGAATACAGTTTGTGTCATATTTTCGTGGTTGATTAGTTTAAACTTTACGAAATCCTGTGGAATTTTCATGTTTTCCAATTAGTCTNATTAGTCTTTGGTTATCGACAGCCCAGCTTTTTCACCCTGGGCCATGCACCAAAACAGATTACGGCATTGCAACCGCGCCATCTTGGCAGGTTTGTCTAGCTCTCTTCCCTTGGAACGAGCGCGACAGGTACCATTACAATTTGGTCCCGTCCTCGAGGATGATGACACGGGACATGAACTGTGGTTGGAATACTGAACCTATTTATCATCAATTATCCACCCTCATTTAAAAAATATCTGGAAGCAACTAATGTCGTTTCATCATGCTACCGATGGAAGTTCTTTGCCTTCAATGAATTTTAATGCTTGTATAGTTTTCCACCAATCTCTGAATATCGTTCTGCCCACGTCGAACCAGAAAGTAAGTGTACTCATGGGATTTTCAATGGGTTCCACAATCATCAGATTGCAACAAGACTAAGAAATAACATTGTTGTTGGTATGCCAAAAAGCATTAAAATTAAAATTCATATTGTGGATAAATTACAAAGCTGACGCTTATTGAATCCCATAGGATCTGTACATAGTGGGTACAAAAATCAATGCTTCGTTCAGCTTTTACTCCAGTGAACTGATGGCTGGAGCAGAAGCAACTTGAAGTGGATGAGAGTTCGCGGTATCAAATCTTTGATTCTGAAGCGTGACGCTTGCAGTTTGACGGATTCTTTAGTATTGATATGGTATTTGATATAGGCGAATCATATCTCCCCGTATTCGACTGTATTCGGAGGAAGAGAGTCCGGAACTAATAGCCTCTTGCGGTAGCTCTTATATTTACTATTTTGACGTTTTTTGGTTGTTGTTCTCTGCGAACGTTCCAATTCCCTTCGGTCGCGAATTAGACAAGCATTCCAAGCTTGTATAGCATACTCGGTGCATGGTCGAATGTATGCTGGTAGCAAACGTAGGAATAGGCCTGTCTCGGATGATCTAAAAACACGTTTTGGTAATCGGACTTGTTTTACGGTCTTTGATGACGCGGTAAATTAATGTGTGGAACATTCTAGAACCTAGATATTTACACTATCATAGTGCGAACGATACAGATAACAATACAATCTCAGGATTACTGGTAAAAATTCAAACTTCATGTTTGAGTGAACGTGTACGGTAGTGAAACGAGGAGTTTATGAACCCCTCATAATGTGTGTACAAACCATATAACCAAAAACAGGTCCATTGGTGAGATTTTAAGTATTTCAACTGTTTCACAGGACAGATATTGAAAACTCAAAGGGGAAGACAAAACCTCGTTTAGTGTTTCATAATCGTACAACTACAAGGCAGTGTTTCCAAGCTCTTAAGATGTCGTGGGAAGAGTAGCAAGACGTGACCGTTTCTAAAGGGATTAAAAAGAGACAGTCGTATCTTGAAATAACCCCTTTTTCTATTAGAGGTGGATGATGGCCCAGCTATGAAAACTCAACCTATCTACACTTCCTTTGCAACTGGTATTCCGTTTCATTAGCGTACTCACGAGGAAGTGAGTTTGTTTGTAACTATGCGTTCTGCTTCCGTAGACTGAGGAGCTTTAAGCTGTGAATGAGAAAACCCGAAGGAATGTGTGTGTGCATGCGTGTGTGCACACGTGCGTAACACCCCACTGGTTGATTTGATCAATATCCAGTGTCTAAATGTTATGTATCTTACATTGATTTCACCGAGCGAATACAGTTCGGGTGCCTGAATAGGTACTTACTGTGAAGATTGGAGTGGGGCTATTAGGCCCAAAGCAATAACGATTTCCGTGTTTCACCAAATATTGGGCAATCTGCATCGTTTCAAAGTTTATGGTTCACGTTTAAATTTAAAAAAATAAATCACCTCAAATGACATACAGAGAGAGAGAGAGATCAACCGACACGTACCCGTGTTAGCACGCGTCCAGCATATGGGCTCCTTTGTCTCGTGTAATCCTTAAATGAAAAGAAAAATAACAATAAGCGAACTGAAACCAGTCGCTTCTCAACAAATATGATCCATTTTGCGTGGTGCAATTCATTTTCGCCTGTCTGCCGAGCTTGGTAATTTGTTTACAAGTGATTTATCCACAGCCGAGGTGAGACATCCTCAGTGCATGTGAATGGGCAGTGTACTCCTTGTACCCGTTCAACATGGCTTGCTGTTGAACTGTTTCGAGATAGAGAGGGTCGGGATGTGGACTTTTGTTACACCATTTGATCAATGAGTTTAACGGACGTGTAACCTGATCCGGTTCGACATGTACGTTTCCTGAGTTGACTGGATAATGTGAATTCTTGAGAAATTCTTCAGCGTGCTTGGTTCGGACTGCATCAATGAGCTGTTCCCAAAACATTTTCCAAGCTTGGCGAACAGGTGAAAATGAATCCAGTACACCATACCGATAAGAGCCATTTTTCGATGTTGCAACTATTTTTCCGGTCTGATAAAATAAAATGAACTGGTTGAGAATCTCAGCAGACACAAGTATACGAAGGACGGCGAGGTCCATTAGTCGCTGTCTTGATTGCGGAGCCTTGCACATGATTTCTGTGGAGCCTTTGTCCAAAAGACAACAGAGGACCCAGAAGATATTGATTTAAATGGTTCAATTATGGGATGATACGATTCGGATCAATGTATGGACGCAGACAATGCTTTCGTTCACCACATACCCTCCTCACTCTAAAATGAGGTCACACCGATGGATTGCTGAACGTTTCACATTTGCATCACTCATCCAGATTACACAGCCATATGAAATCCATCGGCTAGCATGTGAGCTGAGTGCAACAGCGGGTCTACCTTAGA